TTCTCCTCGGGGGGCGGGCGCCCCACTGCGCCCCGCCAAAGCCGCCGCCGCTCCGGCTCCTCGCCACCTCGGAAGCCCACCGTGCTACTGTGCGGTGGGAAGCGGACGCCCCTCCGAACCCCGCCAATGCCGCCGCCGCGGCTCGCCTTCCCCTCCGCTTGGGGGCGGGCACACCACTGCCTCGCAAACGCCGCCCCGTTAAGGAAGGCTGCCGCCGCGGCACCGCCTCTCCGCCCCCGGAGCCTTCCGCGCGCGCGCGCGCCCCGGCGCTCTTCCCCCCCCCTCTCCTCCTCTCGCCATGATAAGGCCCCCCCTCCGCCGCCCTGCTGGCCACCCCTTGCGCCGCGCCCGCCGCTTCCCAGGTGCACCCCTGGAAGGCGCCACTCTTCCAGCGGCCCCAGCGCCGCACCAGCGCCGCGCCTTTGAAAGCGGCGCAGTGCGCCGACGACGCCCCTCCGACGCGGAGGCCGCCCGCTCCCAAGTCGACCGGGCCAGCTCCCTGTGCTTCTGCGGCCTGCGTCGCGATCCTCCGAACATCAGCCCCAGCGACCACGTGCTCGTCGCGCGTCGCGAACAGGGGGTCCGACTTCCTGCGCCCCGAGAGCCCCTCCTTGGCCCATGTCTCGTACAAGGCCAAGGCCTCGACCGCACCGAAGCGGACCTCATCCTGCCCTCTCCCCCCCGATCCGCCCGCCGCCGCCATGCGCGTCGTGCCTCTCTCGCCAGACTGTTCCGCGCCAGTGCGGTTCCTCCACCCGAGGCTCGCCATGGCGCCTCGGAGTATCACCTGCTCCACGCACGCACTTGCTGCCTGCGCAGCCGGTCTGGCCACTCGCCGCGCACACGCTCGCTCTCAAAAACGCGAAACACCCCTTGGCGATCGCAATCCACAGCGCAGCTCCCTTTTCGTGCGATTTTTCTGGCTCCAGCTTTTGAGCCGCCTCTCATCCTCTCGCCGATCAAGATCGAAGGAGAGCACAACATAAATGATGAAAATTATGATTCAGCAAGCCGAGAGAGAGGCGGGGACAGGGCGGGCGGTCCTTACCTCCGCGTGCTTCCACCACTCCGACGCCCCTGCTTTGAGACCCGCATCTCTTGCAGAAGACCAGACCGAGCCCCGTCTCGAGGCACCTCGAGACCCAGAGCCGTTGGCCTGTCTGGCTCCAGCTTCAGCTTGGTCCACCTTGGCACCCTCGGCGCGACTGGCTTATTCCTCTGGGGCTCTCCCCGGCGTCTCCTCGAGCCGCCCGCTGCCATGCACGACCTCGGCCTTGCCGCCGTCAGGCCCAGGGGGCCCAGGGCAAGGTGCGCCGCTCTCACCGAGCTGGGGCCCTCCTTGGTGGCGCCCGCCTTCTTTGCGCCCTCGCCGCTCCAGGTGCGTGGCGAACTCTAGCCGGAGGTGGCCCCCACGCCCCCTCGCATGCTGGCCCACATCCCTCGGGGGGCTCGACCCCCGAGCTCGGCACAACAGGGCCCGCCACCTCCACCCCGGGCTGTGCGACTTCACAGTGGAGCCTGCCAGCTTGGCCAAGCCTCGCTCCAACTGGTTCTTTCCCAATCCTCCTTGGCCTTCAGATCGGCGAGCACCCTGCCGTCGGTGTCGGCTCTCTCCGCGAGCGCGAGATCCCTGGGCCCCAGCTGGCTGGCGGGCGCAGGCAAGCTCGGCACCGCCCGCTTACGCGGCTCGGCGCCCGCCCGCCGTTCGATCCCTCCTCCCCTCTCCCTGCCGCGCGCATGGCCCACCCCGGGCGTCCAGCGCGCTGGTGCGGGGAGCCCCACTCCGCCACGAGACGCCCCAGCTCGGCGCAAGCCTCGAACTCCTCCAGCGAGCCACTCCTCCTGCCCGCGGCGTTCCGACACCGATCGCGCGCCCGGGTCGCACGACGTCGAGGTGCAGCTCCAGCCTGCGGCCTGCCCCCCTCGCCAGTCGAGCCGCTCCTCCTGCTGGCCTCCGCGGCCCGACGGACGCGCGGCAGAGCCCCCGGGGGCACCCTCGTCCCTCTCGCTGCTCGAAGGCACTCGGAGACCACCCCAGGGGGTCGACCGCGCGCGCCCCTCGCCTCTCACACGACTGCCCCGCTCGTCAGCCAGCCGGGCCAGGCCAGGCGCCGGATGCCTGTGCCTCGTGGCCTTGCCCGCCTGCCCTGGAGGCGAGGGCCCCCCCCCCAGAGGGGCCAAAGACTTGAGCGCAAAGCAGCTGCGGAGAAGTGCGGAGGGGGAGATGGCGAGGCATGGTTCGGGCCCAGTGGCCAAAACCCGACGTTGCAACGAACGGTGAAAGAACGTGGGCCACCACAGGCCTGGACCCCTTCCCCAGAACCGGCTTCTTATCCCGAGTCGGTTTCTGACGGGTCCCGGAGCCCAGCGAGGGCCCGAGAAGTGTCAAACACTTTTTCAGTCTTGATTTTGAATGGACTCGAAGAAGGGTTTGGGAATGGCTCTCGGGGTCATGATTCGAGCCTCCAGCGGCCGTTCGGGACGATTCGGGCACCCCCAG